GTCTCAGCTCAGAGCAGGAATGGAGGAAGAATAACATCTCAGAAGAGATTCTCCCTTGTTGTTCAGAAAATAAAGGCCAGGAAGTGCTTTCAGACTTGCCAGATTCTGTTTCTGTAACCTTATAATAAAAGTCCTATTATTTGGTTTGGTTTACTGTGTGGAGCCCCTGAAAAGTCTGACATGCTTGCCAAACCCACCCTATATTGCCCCATACAGTAAACCTGCTGCATGTAATTTCTCTGTGCCTGTCCTCATTGTTTATTGGTGATCACCATTGTTAAGCCTGGATTCCCCAACGGGTGTTAAGGAAAACAAACTAAACAGAATGTACAGCGAAGTCAGATAGGAAGACAGGTAAATGTGTGAGATAAGTTTTCTAGTTAACACGCAGTAAAAATACAGATACGCTTTGTGCTATCAAAAATATTGTTTATTCCATTTAAGAATTATAGCATAGTCAAATGTAACGGTCCATTAGTCATATATCAATTTCAGTCAATTCTTGTCGAGGATACTCTAATTGCAAAGTCCGTGTGGAATAGCCAGTGTCAGTACACATATAATAAATCTGTCCAAAACTTATCTTCTCTCCGTTGAGAAATATCTTCAAAGTAATCCAACACTTCTTCTCCTCCCCGATCCAGCAAGAACGCAGTCTTCAATAAGCCAGCCAGTAAGAGCCAGAGAGTGCCTTGCTGCTTATATAGTACTTTTACAGCTGCACCCTTAATTACATTCCTTTAACTTAAAGTCACATACACTTTATCTCAGGGGTCCCCAACCGCCGGTCCGCGGACCGGTACCGGGCCGCGGAACAAGCCTTACCGGGCCGCTGGTTGCTGGGCGCCGCCATTTTTTTTGGCGAAAAAACGCAACCGGTGACGTCACCGGAAGTGATTTTTCGTCAAAAAAAGATGGCGGCGCCCAGCTGACGCCGGAACCGGGCCGCGGCGCCCAGCTGACGCCGGAACCGGGCCGCGGCGTCGAAAAGGTTGGGGATCCCTGCTTTATCTGACAAACCATGATTCATCATTTTATTATCTTTACCCAAAACAGTTAGGGTAAAACAATGTTATCCCTAACAACCATGATGAAGTCTATGATTTACCTGTTCTCCTTCTCTTCCAGCTGATTGGAGAAAGAGCCCGAGCTGGAGCTATGCTCATTGTCTTCCTTTTCTCAGCCTTTTTCCATGAATATATACTCACCTTGTCTTTTGGCTTCTTCTATCCTGTCACATTTGTTCTGTTTGCTGGGACTGGAGGTAAGTAGCTCCTCAGGAAATGGACTGAACCTTTTCTCAGAAGAGTCAAGCAAGGCCCGTAAAACATAATGTGGCATGGATTATTCCTGGTGAACATTCATCCTGTTCTGCCCTCCTCTAGTTTGGGTTTTCCACACTTCCCAAATGGCACTCATTCATGTCCTTTTTGATGCACTTTTTTTACCACTGGTAGGTTGGATTTGCTCCAACTGTATTCAAAATATAGTAAGCCAGTGGCCAGGGTCTTATGATGGATTTTGTGATGCTTACCCATCCATCACAACACCACCAATTTATGTGACCCACACCTGACCCATCACAGGACCCATCACAAGAACCTGACCTGACGTGACCTCACCCTCACAATGCCTGCTGACAACATGGAGACCTTATAAGCAGAACACTGACACCCCCTACATTCCACTGAAGATGGAAACCAGCCCACAAGCTCAGAGAACGACCCTCCATCCCACAACTCATGTACTCTGATTTACTATTATTATAATTTCCAGTATGCCTTCGGACATCTTGGCTACGCAACCCTGGGTATCGCTACCCTAGATGAGTGGAGCTTTCCAAATTGAGAAAGACTAGCTAAGGAAAGATTCAAGGCATTATCCTGCCCCCTTCACCAACCAGTATTTCTCAATCTTGGTGACTTTAAGATGTGTGGACTTCAGCTGCCAGAATTCCCCAGGCAGCCATGTGCATTGTGTTATTGCCTCAGACGGTGCATTCTATGGTTAGGGTGGAGGCTGCTTTCTCATCCTTGTGACAGTTATTTCAGTTTTGTATTATTTTTTTTCAAATCTTGCTGGTCATCGAGTAAACAGTAGTTCTTCCGTGAGAATATTAAGATTCTCTATTCTAACAGGAGGGACAATTTTAGAAATTAAAAAGCAAAAACAGCAAAATCAATAACTGGAAAACAAAAGTTTCCTATTTCAGAAATCCAATCACAGTTCCAAAACAGATGAAAGTATTCTTTTATCTCCCCCCTGATCGAGACCACAATCAGGATGCAGATAGAAGAGGAACAGGAAAATAGCCTAGGTTCTAGGAGCAGGGAGTTCCATCTGCAAGGGCATTGCTTTGAGAATTCTATTTTCCAAATTATTTTTCCTCCATGGGGGTAGGGATGGGGCATATTGTTTTATAATTAACATGGAAATTGCTGTTATTTTAGATTTTATAATGGGGACCATCCCTATTGTAGATAACAGTTATTAGAAATCAATAACTGAGAGATTTCCACGGCTCAGTGTGGCTGGAATATACACAATTAACCCTTTTTCTGTTTGTCTTCATAGTGTTCTTTAACTTTGTTTTCAATGATAAGAGAAAAGGCCCTGTCTGGAACATCATCATATGGATATGCCTCTCTTTGGGCCAAGCGATCGTTTTCTCGTTATACAGCCAAGAGTGGTTTGCACATGTCCACTGTCCACTCAAGGAGGTGAGTAGACAGTTTACCTTGTGGAGTTAGAGTAAGTCTTGGGTTCCCTCTTGGTTTCAACTTTTGTTGCTTTCAGATATAAAGAGAGTGATAAAATAGAAGAAAAAAACCCTCTGTAATCTGACTGGAACCATTTAATTAAAGATTGCTTCATTATTCCTGATATTTATTAATATTACAGCCACCTTTTAGCTCTAAAACATTAACATGCTCCAATCAATAAAAATAAAGAAAAAAATATTTCACATTAGCTGTATTTTGGGGCATTTCAATATGTGAAAAAAACACCTGACTGTTATTGATACATGAATGTTGCAACATTCTTATTGTTTTATTTTCACTCCATTTCTTTCCATTTTATGGAGACCTGAACAGGAAAAAAGGCCAAATCAAAGGTCCATTGAGAGCAGCAGATATGCCCAACGTGTTGCCAACCATGTATGTTGGCTTTTGACAGTGAGAACAATCAACCAATGGAACAGCTTGCCCTCGGAAGTTCTGGGAGCACCATCACTTGACACTTTCAGGAAGAGATTGGACTGCCATTTGTCAGAAATGGTGTAGAGTCTCCCGCTTGGGCGGCGGGGGGTTGGACTAGATGACCTACAAGGTCTCTTCCAACTCTGATTATCTGTTATCTTTGATTGGGAATCCAGCACTTTTTGGGGACACCAGGTTCTGTTAACGCTTTATAGCAAGATCCTGCTTTACAGTATAGTCAGAGATTCTCACCTGAGGGAGTTAGAGCAAACCTTTCTTCCTTCTCCTCATATCAGTAGCTGCAAAAGGTGCTCTGCGACATCCAGTATTGAAAATTCTGGGTCTAAGAGCCTTTGACAAACAATGTCCTTCAAGTCTGGGCTCCCTTGGGTTGAGGGGCCTGAGCTGAGGGGCCTGAGAAGCAAAACTGCCAGAGCCAGATCCTGTTTTCCAGAATAGGCTAGGCCTGCAATTCAAAGTCTCTCCAGTGCTGCCTTCAATATTGCTGAAACTCTGGGAATGTTATTGTGCTGATGGGCTCCTGATTATGTTGGGACATATATATGGCTGATCTTGCTGACCCAGATCTAAGCATGAGATTAGCTGGAATTCTTGTATCATTTTGTTTTATGGCAGTTTCCCTTCTAGCTATTCTGTCTCTCTTGACATAGTCATTGTTTTCTTTTCTCAGAAGACCTTCTGGGAGCTAGTGACTCCACGTTCCTGGTATTGCCACCCATAAGCAACTATTTCCAGCCTACCCTAGCCTTCTACTTTGCTTCAAAAAGGACGTCTCACAAGGATATCTCATTACTCTGCTGCTGCAACAACAAGGACTCTCAGCACATCATGCGTCTCCTCCACTCCCTCCATGGAAAGCTGTATTTGGAAATTCCTTATCCGAGGGTGCTAAAATTTGGTTTGTCGGTTCAAAGGCTCTATCTGGTTGAGACAGAATATCTACAAAGATCCCTGTGTGGAGTTCATGGTGCTCAAATTCCAGGGGAAAATTTATCAGTGACAATCTTTGGCTGCCTCCAAGACTTACAAAATTATCTCCCTTTCTTAACCTACTTAAAATAAAACATGAGTGCTCCACCTTGAAATGTAGATTATACCACATCCCAGCTTTAACCCAAACTCTGTTGCTTTTAGATCAACAGGAAACTTTCCAGATATTGGTAAAATCCAGCTCTCAGCAGATTGTATTGATGGGAAATAGAGTTCAATAATATCAGAAGTATTGCTTATATTTCCTACTTTTAGACTTTCATTCAACATTTCATCTCCAGCAGTGAAGGAAGGGAACCTGAATTACCACCAGCAATATCCATTCAATGCCTATTGTATTGTGTGAATGATTTTTGAAACTATATTTGGAAATAAAAACAGATTATGCCAAATCAGATTATGCCAAATCTTATTTCATTCTTTGACAAAGTGACTAAAATTAGTAGACAAGCCAAATTCTGTGGTCATAGTATACTTAGACTTCAGCAAGGCTGTCATTACTCTGTGGAGCCTGAGTCTGCGGAGGAGAATGAGTTGGAACTGGGACCAATGGAAGTTGAGCATGCGGCTTTGTTGGCTCCAGAGGAATACAGGGAGGAGCAGGACAAGGCAGCCCCAGGTCTCTTGGGCCTGGGATGGCTTGCCAGCAGGGAAGAATGGGGGCAGGACGACCAAGAGAG